CACCAAGATTACCACCAGACATACAAACAGTAAACAATACCTTAATCAAGGAACTACCAGAAGGAAAAAATAGAACAAAAACAAAACCCCCACCCCCACCAACCCTGGCAGGGCATGCTACTGTATATAAACAGAGGGCAAACCCCATCCCATTCCAGCACTGAAGATGTGACCTAGCTGGGTAATGAAATGTTTGCAATAAAACAACCAAGCTCAGAGAACAGCGAGAACTCCACAGTTCAACCCTGAGCTACACATATTCACTTCTGTTGAAACTACAGCCCCCACCAAAAAAGGATAACAATGGCAGAAATGACAAAACCAGAAGGAACAAAGAAAAAAGAAAAAGACACAAGCTGTGGTTCCCCAATCATACTGACTGCAAACACGTCTACAGACCTGGCAGTTTCCAATCCCTATAGCTCAATGGGAGGAATAATCATGATTATGGATATATACTTACTGCCCTTCATAAGAGAATAGTAGAGCTGCTTACTAAATGAAGGTGAAAATACAAAACTAGGGATAAAATTGGTCGAGTAAAACTACAGACTTTGGAGCAGTGTTTCTCAGCCTTGACAACTGGACTTCAGCTCCCAGAATTCCCCAGCCAGCATGGGGAATCTTAAAGTTGCCAGGGTTGAGGAACACTGTATAAACCTCTTGTATGAACCTAGCAAACATAGGCACTTCAATTCCTGCAATTCAACTCCCTGCACTTCAACTCCAAGCATGCTGTGTGGGGAATTCTGGGAGTTGAAGTCCACATATCTTAAAGGTGCCAAGATTGAGATATACTGCTTTGGAGCAATATAGCGCTTGAGGGTTCCTCATTCATCGATTATGCCAGTGCACAGTGAGGACTCTGTGTGTCTAGAAGACTAGCACGCTGGAAGAAAAGGTTCTCCTTGAAGATTCTTGTTTTCTATGTGTAGGAAGACTTTGAGAAGTGATCCCTTTGAGAGGTGATCCATTGAGACCTTCCCAGGAAGGTTTTTCCCCTAGTGTTGGCTAAATGCATAAATTGGCTTGGAGTGAGTGAGAAAGGCGCAGAGGTTCTCCAACCTTCTCCTCTCTGACATGCTGTGCTGCTCTTCCTTTCTCTTTGCCTCTCTCCTTTCATCTTCTGGGACTTCATACCTGACTGATCTTTTCCTTCTGCATCCCATCGGAGCCAAGTTCCTGTCCTGCATGGACATTCGCTCCCCTACCTGACCTTGCATGCCTCCTAATCCATGGCTGCCAGATGGATCTTTCTGTATCCCTCTTGCTGATCACCCCTCTCTTTTCTCCCCCAGTTGCTCCCCAGCGAATCTGGGCTGGGCCAGACTCTCCATGCTCCGACCCGGGTGAGTCCCGGCTGACACTGGGGGAGGACAGGGCTGCCCAGAGGTGTTGGGTTCGGTGTAGGGGATGGCTCTTGAGGAGGCGGCTTTCTCACAGGGCGTATGTTCCCTTTTAGGTGAGCCCATCCGGCCCATCGACCCAGCAGCTTGGGTTTCCCACACTGCAGCGATGACGGGCACCTTCCCTGCGTACGGTATGAGTCCATCCATGAGCACAATCACTTCCACCAGCTCCTCCATCACCAGCTCCATCCCAGAAACTGAACGTAAGTTCTTGTGCCCGTGCATTTCCCACCCCTGCTTGGCTTCCAGTCACCTGCACGCCTCATCCGATAGGAACAATACCTGCACAGGGCAGAGTTCCCATTTGTGGAAGAAGAATCCGACCCTCTAAAACAACCTCCGTAACCAAGGATTGGTTTCCTCATAAACTCTAAACGGCTGAGCAGGGATGTTTGCTCCCTCTTTGAAGTATTTGCAGAGATTTAAACATAGCTGCTTCCAAGAGGAAAGCAGAGGGAGGAGAGATACAGGGAGCCACCCAGGAAGAAGTAGAAGTGGACTTAAATCATCCTTTTTCCAGGTGTGATGATCAATTAGGAAGTCTGGTGAGTGTCCAGAGGGGGACAGTAGGTGTGAAAAGGTGATGAAGTCATTCCTTGGCTTCTTCTGGCCAAGATGGATTTGGGTGGAATAGCTTCCAGAGGGGTTTCATGGCCTATAAAGCAGAGTAGCACTGTTAAGTGAAGGCAGTATTTAGTCTCTGAGCAAGCTTGTGTAGCAGCTTTGGTCCACATGGGCACACAGCTTCTTTCCTGTGTTGCAGATGGGGAAGGAAGTAGGGAGAACTGAGATTAAAGCCCAGGAGAGGCTATGTTCTGAAACGGGCACAAGAACAAAGAAAGGGCAGGATCCTCATTGGAACTAACACGGGCATGAGGATGATCTGGGGATGATCAAGAGCTGGCTACTGACGGGGGCTTGGAGAACAGCCATGCAAAACCATTTGAATAAGCAATGGCTTTGAGCACAAAACAGTTGAGTCGTGACTTTTCCAGTCGTGACCCAACGTCAAACAAGCTCATTTGAGCTCAAAATGGGGCTGTTCCAAAGGTGCAGGGTGAGGTCAGAAAGATCAAGATGGCTACTGCGACGTGGAAAAAAATGGGCGGAGCTTTGATTGCACTGTCGCAGTGGCCATCTTGACCATAATCTGCGGGGATCCCTGCGCTGTTCCATGTTTAGGTGACTTCCAGGGTGGTGGAACAAGCACTGCAACATTTCCAGGGAGGCCAGAAGGCAGTTTTGAATTGAAATTGGAGATTTTTGTGCTGGAAATGTTTGGCACATCACTAGTTGTGGATATCAGTTTGGCACAGTGAAACATCTGGGAGAGCTCATGCTTCAGCATTCCTGAAATAAACATGGGGTTGACCTGAACACTTCCTGTTGGGGAATATGAAAAATCCCACTACAGCTGCCCTTAGTTTTTTAAAGGAAGAGTCATAGAAAAATGAAGCAGTTACAATTCAGGCTGTTGTAAAGCAGCAGGGAATGATTTGCTAAAATAAAAAAAATGGCAACTTGGGAAGATTCTGACTTCACAGCAGCCTTTGACATGTACCAGTGGTTACAAGAAGGAGTCCTGTTCAGAGGGAGACTGTAGAGCCAAATGGCTTTTAGGATATGCCTGTCTTGTATTGTTTCTCTCTTGCAGCCTTCTCCAACTTTCTGTTCTTCAAATGTGTTGGATTCCCAGGATCTCCTATTGACAGATCCGGAAGGCACTGGAATCTGTATGTTGTGCTCGTGTGTATTCCTCTACTTTTCTGTCACCTCTCACCTCTACCTTCCTTCCCTCTGCCCCCTTCTCTCCACACAGGTCTAGATGACTTTCATCTCTCCATCCATAGTGATATGGCCACCATTGTCAAAGCCATGGCCTCACCAGAGTCAGGCTTGGAGGTGCGTGACCGCATGTGGCTGAAGATCACCATTCCCAGTGCCTTCATTGGTAAGACTGACCAGTGGGCAGAACTTTGAGAGCTGCTAAATGTTCAGTGGGCGTCTCAAATAGTTAGCTTGAGAGGACAGCTAGTAGAGAGAGACAGAAAGATACCAATTTTGCTTTGGAGGAGGACAAGCTAACTGTTAGGGATATGACTGAAGAACAGCTGAGGAATCTGTTCTTCTTCAGATACTTCTCCAGTAGAATTATGACAGCCAGTTCATACATTCAAAATGCTTTATGTCTGTCATCTTAAAACAATGCCCCTATTCATACTGTAGATCAGGGTTCCTCAACCGTGGCAACTTTAAGACGAGTGGCAAGGCTGGGTGGGGAATTCTGGGAGTTGAAGTCCACCCGTCTTAAAGTTGCCAAGGTTGAGGAACCCTGCTGTAGATGGTGAGGGGTTGAGGCTAAGTCTTGTCTGAATTGTGTGCTGAGTTTCTTTCTCCTTCATCATTGTCTCTGTAGTCCGTTGTGCTAGATTCACTTGCCTGAGGATTGCCAGGTTGTAAAAAAAAAAGTCAACAAGAGGGTTTGTTTCTTCCTTTCCTTTTGCACTGTGGTATGGAGAATTGGACACAGGACTCAGTTGGAGTCTGACAACAGCAGAACAGAGTAGACAAGTTACTTCCTGTGATGTGAACTCTACTCCTGTTAATGCATCCCAAGATAGCATTTGTGTTTTTAGCAGCTGCATCCCTCTGCTGAGTCATGTTTAATTTGTGGTTGACAAGGACACCCAGTTCCTTTTCACATGTATACTGTCAAGCAGGATCTCCCTCTTCCTATACTTGTGCTTTTCATGTTTTCTGTCCAGATCCAGATGTCAACATTTTGCCCTGTTAAATTCCATCCTATTCATTTCAGTCCATCGCCCAAGCCTGTCTAAATCTTTTTTTAATCTTCTTCTTCTCTCTGTCTCTCTCTTTCTCTCTTGTCTAAATTATTTATCACCCCTTCCAGCTTTGTCTCAGTTGCCAACTAGATAAGTGTCCCCTCAACTCACTCATCTAAGTCATTGATAAAAATATTGCATAGGGCCCAGAACAGAGCCCTGTGGCCCCAGTCCATACTTCTCTCCAAGCTAAAGAGGGACCATTAAGGAACACTCTTTGGGCATGGTCATTCAGTCAACTATAATTCCATCTAGCCATAATATCATCTAGCCCATATTTTATCATGAATACTATGAGAGATTCTTTTGAAGACTTTCTTGAGGTCCAAGTACAATATGTTTAAGGCATTCTCCTGGTCTATTAAGCTAGTAACTGTAATCAACAAGAGAGATTAAGGTTAGCCTGACATGAATTGTTTATGCCCCTTGCTGGTTCCTGTTAGTTGAGATATGCCTATCCCAAAGAGCTGTTTGGTAATCTGTTCAATGACCTTATCCAGTATAGACATCGATCTGACAGGTCTGTAGTTTTCCAAGTCTTCCTCCTTCCCTTTCTTGAAGACTGGGAGGACATTTCTTCTCTTCCAGTCTTCTAGGACCTCGCCAGTTTTCCAGGTCTCAATGATTATCTGAAGTAGTTTTTTGACAACTCTGTTAGTATCCTGGGATATAATCTCTCTAGTCCTAGTTATTCAAATCTATTTAAATTAGCTCAAATCTTTCCTTGTCTATCCTAAGCTGTGGCCCTATTTCCTCCTGACGGGAGATAGGTGCCAAATAGGAGTTCTGGCGTATCACCATCACCCATTACTGTTTCACCAGTTTCTCTTAGCATTGTCCCCCACCCTGGAACAGCTTATTCCCCTCCCAAGATTCAGATGGTCCTGCCCCTGCTGGCCTTCCCTAAGATCTTGATGATGCTGCCTTTCCCAGTTTGGGCCAGGGTGATAGATGAGTCTTCTGAAATATTTTTTGACTGAATGACTGTGGTCTGGCCTTGATTGAATCATGTCCCTTTGGTTTGTTGTTCTGTTCTTTTGTAGGTTTTTATATTGGTTTTAATCCTATGTTAGCCACCCACAGTCGCATATACATTATTTAAATAAATAAATATCTCCTTCTTTGGCTTTTCTTTTATTTCTAGCATATGCAGATTGTTTGTTTGTTTGTTTGGAAGGAGGGTATATTTTTGGTATCTCTCACAAGCCTCTCAGTTCATTCTGAGCTTAGCTTTTCTAGCTGAGTTCACTCCAGTGTAGTTTCTGGACCTCCTTGTTCTCCTTCTTCCAATTGTCCAGTTTCTCTTTACTCCTGCCTCACTTTTACAACTGCTTCACTCACTGTTATTGAGTTCAGATTGTTCATGACTCAATAATTCATGCTGCAAAGATTTAGAAGTCTCAGCCGGGTTGAATCCAACATGGATACTGGGGTTTGATTGCAACCATTTCAATTTTATTGAACCTGATTGGATTTGTTTTCAGGTAAGGATAGATAGATTACTTGAGAAGATCCTGCACCAAGCGAGGGGTTGGATTAGGTGACTTGAACTACCTTAGATGACTTTGAAGAAATCTTCCAACTCTGTGATTTCTGATTAAGATGAGCATGAAATCCTTAAGACTGCTTGGAAGGAATGTGAAAAATCACTCTTTTGGTGACAGGCCATTTGGAGAACACCATGAATTGCTTCCCATTCCAAAAGATTCACTTCCAAAAAACTATCAAACTATGACCAGATTGATACATTTTAGAGTTAAAGTGGAATCTTCCATTGTTCCCCAAAGGCATGGGTTCTGCATATAAATGATGCATTGTGTGAACGGTCCTTTCTATAGCTTACGGATTCCTTGGACATGGGCTGCAAAAAAACGAAGGGGAAAAAATTATCCTTTTTCTCTACAGCAGTGTTTCTCAACCTTGGCAACTTTAAGACGTGAGGACTTGAACTCCCAGAATTCCCCA